TTACTGTTTAATGGTCCTCAAGCTAAATATATGAATCGGACTGTGTATAAATAATAATTGGACAGAAGCAAGTATCTTCTAAAAGGGCGTTTCCCGAAGTTCTAATAGGCATAGCCTAAAAACTTCAGTCACGCTCTTTTCAGCCCCCTCACTTTCAGGCTGGTGCGCGGTGGCTGTTTGGGGGCATCTACCCTGGGTACCAGCCTCAATATTCGATTAAGGGCATATATAGTTAGTCTGGTACCCAGGGAAGGGGGCATCAGATATCGTCAGATATCGGGATTCCTTAAAGGCCGAGATACACGGTGAAATTTTTCTTTCAGACATTAAAATGCAGACAAATTAATTATTTCAGTCAATAGTGTTTCACCGTGTATACGTTGTTTCAAAAGACGTTAAGAAAGTCTGAAGAACTTCCCTAAATGACTGAAAAGTATTTCAGACACTTTCACGTGAAAGAAATTTTAATGAAATGATCCATAAAAACGTTTTGGTTCTGAAATAGCTTTAAAGATGCCAACAAGAATAAGAGACCCAATATCGCAATTTTGCACAAGTTTATCTAAACGCGCAGTGGTAACCAATTTGTGCAATGATAAATCGGGATTGTGCAGTGATAAACTGAAATTTTTTGCAGTAATAAAACTCCCATTTACAGATTTGGTTTTGAAAAATAATGATTGCAGCAGCCACCTGTTGACGAGCAAAGCTGAAAGCATTGCAGTATTAAAAACGAGAATAGCAACAATGACCATTCTCTATTAAATCCTCTAAAATTTGTTCAGTACCTAGAAGCTATCTAATATGCTTTGTCTTTCATCGTCTTGATTAAGATCTTTATTCAGTTATGATCTTGAGCATTGCTTTATGCCTTCAAAGCAGCAATCCTCGAGTAGCTGTTTGCTTGACTCTTAACAGGAACATGGTGTGAGGTGTTCAGGAACGTTTGTATTGGTCCTTTTTAACGGAGACAAATTGAATTTCGTTTTATTATTCTTGGTAATGGGAAAAATCCCCATTCTACTGCTTAGTTTAAAGCTCTATTATGACTTCACTAATAAACATGAAAATTCCTAAAAGAATATGGATGGATTTCCTTTCAGCAGGGTTAAAACAAAATTTGAAGAATTTTATTGAAGAATAAAGCGCTTTACTCAAGGTCATTTATGTTCACATCGTTGGTACTCGGGCAGAGACATGCTTCTGTATAAATTATAAATAGAAATAATTCAAGGCAATATCCTGTGGTACACCAAAACACGTTCGTTCATACGCTACGTAAAAAGTATATCGACAGAAACTTTGACTTCAGGTTCCGCAGAAGGAACCGAAAGAACCTAAGATCATCTCCAGTTTAGGATGTTAGAATGATTTTACATCTAGAAACTAAAAATTAAAGACACTAATCTGCATTGAAGGTTGCTTTATATAAAGCAAAGCCCCAGCGTGATGCGAAGTGGGGTTATGATTAAATCTTGAGAGAATCCTATAACGGGAAGACCCCTACACGGTGCCCCACCGGAAGTTGACACTGCCTTCACAAAAGATGCGTTGTTAGAGCGTAGCCATTGCTCGAAGCTCAGAATTTTGATGAAAATTTGAAAATTACTTTTTGTGGTTAGGTCTTAAAAATTGGCTTTTAAAAAAGTAACAATTATGAATCAATCTGGAGCTTGTCGTCCCACTTTCTTCAGAATATAAAACTTCGGAACATAGATGAAAAGCGCAAAACTATAAAAAAATACCCGATTGTAGATCGAAATTGGCCAATCAAGAACGCGAGCACATGGCTTGCCCAAAGTGTCGCTTGCCTATTGAAAATGTTTCCAAGTGTAATAACAAACTCCTTCAGCATGCTTTTTCTTTTCGATGTTTATTGATTCGAAAACTGCTAGATGGAATAACGACCGAGCTCTGCCAATAATCCAAAAAATGTGGTCATTAAAGTTATGGCACAATATCGGTTTTCTAGAAAATGACACAAATATTTCACTAGATAGGCAGCCTTGTCATTTCATTTCACCATATTTATTATCCACAGATTCTGAGGAGCTACTTAATTTTATAAACATACTTTTTAAAAAATGCTGGGATGAAAAAATTAACATAGTTACAGTATTTGTCGAGTATAGAATCATCGAGTTCGTCTTCCTCATATTTGTAAAGAGTATTCAATTGGAAAGCAAATATTTTTCTCTCCGCTGTTCAATCTGGCAGAAAATATTACAGCCTCTTAGGGGCATGGTGGCTAATCGGAACTCGGCAAATTTCCCGGTAGGCCCCTTAAAACTTTTCATGTGGGCCCCTTGGATCTTTCTTTCTTATAAGCTTTCATCATAAGCAGGGCCGCGGAGAGGATTTATGGGTTCCAGGTCAGGACGAATAATTAATAGCAAGACGGACTCTTCTCGGGTTTACAGGGAATGCTCCCCCAAAAATGTTTCAAGAAAATTCCTGTCAAAATTGTTATCATGGCTAAATTACCCTGTGGCTTTTACTTCTGATGTCTATTTTAATATAATTTAACAAGATGTGATACATTGATGTCATAATGCATAAAAATAAAAACAGCCATAAGATAAGGAATTCTTTATGGTTACACGAAATACCGGAAGCATGGCATACTAAAGCACTTCCAGTTTTTAGGCACCAAAAAGTTCTTTGGCAATTCTTTATATTTTAATTTATTTTCATTTACTAAATTCAAGCAGATCAGATCCACTGTTGCAAACAGATGTGCTTAATACAGTTTTGTCTTTGTGTGACGTTTAGTCACCTTCACCTTCTGTTCTTAAAAGCAATTGATCGAGTGCAGTGAGCTTGCTATCTCTTCAGAGTCAAAAACGGACATTGCTAGCTTGTCAAAATAAGTCGCCCAAAGCAATGATTTTGATTACAAAAGGAATTAGATTTTTAACGCAAGTTGATATTAGAATAAAATTATTGCGGCTAAGACAAACAACAATCAATGCTGAGTAGCAAAACCTCGACAACCTCTTAGATGAAATACAACTGTCCCAAAAATATCGAAGACCAAGAGAACTTATCAAAATTTATCTCTATCTGAGAGTAGAATCCAAGAATTGGCAGGCACATAGTGATTTCAAGTTTTGTTAAAAAAGTTTTCGTAGGTTTCCTAGAAAATCACCTACTCAGTGGCGTAGCGTCTATGTATGCTACGCTTGCGGCGCAAGCGTAAAAATTTATAGACAAATTCTAAAATTCTTGCAACACTTTCAATGCATAACAATTTCCGCAATAAACGGCTTCTCTTTCTTGTCATGAGCAGCATGCAGTGAACTCTAGCGCCAACAGGCCAATTGGCCCCAAATTGACTATTTTTCCAAGTAAACAGATCGCTAAAAATTATGAAATTCGAAAAATCTGAAAAACTGAAGCCCCTCCACATCACTCTTTTTGCCTGTCCAAAATAAGAGAAACATGTGATGCTCCAGTGCAGCTTCAGTGCAACTCGAGAGAAGCTTCTGAGAGAAGTGAGAATTTTCCGGACTGGAGCTTGCGGTCGGCCTGAGCGCAAGCCTTCCCAAATATTTGATAATCCACAACATTTTTCTACCTATAAGCTGCTTTTTGCGAATACTCTTTGCGTGATACATCATTTCAAATCCAATTATTTTCCTTTCTTACTTTGTGACTGTTGAAAAGAGAAAAGGTTTCGTCAAAGAGGGGTCAGAGTCTATTTGTCATGATCCGCATTCCGTAATTCAAGTCAAAAGGCTTGCCAGTATAGTCAAAATTTACGGACCAGGGCATGCGGTAGACCTGAGCGCAAGCCTTGCTAAATACATGATGATTTGCCGGGACTAACTTTCTGAAACTTTACACATGGAAGCATCTTCAATTCTAACAACTCTCACAGCTCACTATTTTCATCTTAGTTAACTATGAGAGTAAAAAATGAGCAGAAACTGTTGCTCCTGTTCGCTTAGGCTCTGCAGTGTGTTAACAATTTCGCAATGTGGAGAGCTCCTTCTTGCGGGAATCCCCAGCTTCATTATAGCATAAAAAATTATTACATTAGGGGGGCATTAGGTGATGCCTTTTCTTGAGGAATATGAATAAGAATAAAATCTTTTGCAAAGCAGTTTTAGCACTAGGAGTTATTCTGAAAAGTCTTGCTAAACAATTGAGCTTTTTTCAAAAACTTTCGCATGGGTGATAATTTTTCCCTTGGCCCCCCTTCACTTTCCAACCTCTGTCGGAGCCTCTGATGCTAAGAATAGACACCTTGATTGATTAGAATTAGAGTACAGATGATTTGTTACTTTGAAAATCAAAATTTGCTATCACGATTATCATTAATTACCGCTTGTATTTTTTAGAAACTGAAATTACCATTACATTTATTCAACATAGCCGTATATTTTATGTTACCGCATGCCTAAGTTCTGCGCTCAAGCTACGCCACTGCACCTACTGGCTCTGTTTCAGTGAGATAACATAACAGGATAATTTCTGTTTTTCCTTTACTTTACTCACTAAAGACTGGTTGTGATAACGAAGAGGCGGATTTATTACTTATAAGTTTTTCAATTGAGTTATGATTTATGGGTCCCAGTTCCTATGGGCCCCCGGTCAGTGACCCCACTGACCTCCTCACTCCTTATCACTGATCATAAGTAAAGGCGGGTAACCAAGGCCCCCCGCCCCGCCTTCGTCGGAGGCCCTGTTGTCTCACAAATTTGATGTTAAGTCCTATTCGCTCTGGTAGCGCGACTGAGGGAATGCACATTTATGCATGCGCAAATTGAACTTCCTTATTCGCTGCGAATGCGCGACCATTCGCTGAGTAGTTCAACTCAGTTGAACAACTACTGGGGGACTGATCGCGTTCGCCGATTCGCTGACTTGTTGATTCGATTTCGCCAAGTCGCGCGACCAGAGCGAATTAGCCTTAACATCAAATTTGTGAGACATAAATACACGCTGCCTCCGCGACGATCCCATTTTTGTGGAATTTGAAACCTCCCAATTTTCAAATAACCGCAATCGAGACCAATATTTGTCGTCCAAAAGAGGCTGCAATAATATGAATGGAACAAACACATGAACTGTGAACAAACATAACTATAGAAACGAAAACCGGAGAAATCGAAAGTATACCGATGGCAGATATTCCAGAAAACGCAGCAGAAAGTAAGAGGACATTGGAAAAACAAATTTCATTCGTTTAATCCTCAAAATTCTATACTTTATGGCACAGCGCAGGGCCGGCGAAACGTATTTGAAAGTGATCCCTTACATATGCCTATATGGAAGGTCTTGAAAGGGCTTAGGTTAGTCAAGAAAATTTTAGGATTATTGTATTTTAGGGATGGCCAGAGACAGTATCTAAAATTGACTTATACTGAAGGAAAATCCGAGGCAATATCTTTAAGCTTTGTTTAATCAATATGTACAAGTTTAACAAAAACAGGAAAACTATCAACTAAAATAAAAGCAAATTAATCAATTTATACACTTGGGATATTGTTTTGTAACATCTGATCTTAAATATTTCGGAAAAAAGGTGCTTTTAACAAAAATCAAAAATAGTCTTAATAGAATTTACAATTGCGTCTATATTTTCTTTTTTAGTAGGAATAGATTATCGATACAATCAAGTGTTGAAGTTTTCTTGATTTTACTTTTTTAGAACAAATCTGCCCCTTTTTTTTCTCACGTTCTCAAAAATTTTATATATGTCTTCTATGGTAAAGTCATAGCAACCAAGTTAAATCTAAAGGCATATGTAAGGGATTACTAAACACAGTTACTTACAGAATGCTATACTACATTTATTTCCACTTTTGCCTAAAATTTTCCTTTAGCTCTGCAGAAAAGTGAGGGCCATGGCTTTCGCCGGACGTGCAGTGCATAGAGAAGCCTCGTACCAGATAAATTACCCCACAACACACTTCAACTTCTAAAACTTCAACATTTCATTATCACTATTTATAAGCATATTTTACACATGAAATTGTCAGCAGGGGAAAATTAAATACTGAAGGACACACACACACACACACACAAAATAAAAATTCAAACAATCTTTTGGTGGTACAAAACTTGTAAATGGCTTTGAGAAAAGCAAACATTTAGTAAACTAAAGCTTTTGGTCTGACACACTTCAGAGTTTAAAACGTCAGAACATAGATCGAAAACTCTCCGCTAAGAAATATATATACCCAGTTGTGGATCGAAATAGGCCAATCAGAAACACGAGCACATGACTGTATAGGTTGACCAATCAATGTGGCTTGCCTATTAGAATGTAGATTGGATCACTAAGAGTCCAAAGTTCACCGCTCAACGAATGTTGCGTCGAATTGTTGAGAGTGTTTTAACGAGCTTTTTTTTCTTAGTGTAGAGTTTTCGATCTATGTTCTGACGTTTTAAACTCTGAAGAGTGTCATACGAAAAGCTTTAGTTTACTAAATGTTTGCTTTTTTCAAAGCCATTTAAAATAAAAATTGTTAATATTTCTATTTATATCAAAATTATCTCGAAAAATTTAATTATCCCTCCATTAAACCTTTGCGGTAGGCTCTTGTCTCAAGCATTCATGTGCAGAAAAAAATACAATTAAAGCCCTGTTAAAACGCTTTCAACATTTCACTGAACATCGCTCAACATTTGTAGAGTGCAAATGTTGAGAGCTTTTAACACCCTGTTTAGTGATGTTGAGTGGTGTTGAGCAGTGTTCAGTGATGTTGAGTGGAGTTTGAACAGATTCAAAAATGTTCAGCCGGTCGACTCAACATTTCTATTGTTAAAGTTGTTGTTGAGAGATGTTGAGAGCGTTTTAACACCCCATACAACAATGTTCAGTCGGTGCAAGCGCACTAGACTTGGATTTTGCGTGCCAAAGAAAAGCTTCAGCGTGTCAAGATTTCAGATCAGACCAAGAGGTTGAGAGAAGTTGAATTCTATAAATTGAATGGCACACCATGACAAACGCTTGGAAACAGTTGGCAGTGAAAGCAAATCGGATGAGATAGCAATTCAAAGCATGTTGCAAGACCAATATCCTGACCTTAGGAATTTATCAGGCAGCTACTGTTAAAGTGAAAGAGTATCCGAAGTTCATCTTCCAAACTTGTCTTGGATCTCTGAGAGTCCGAAGTTCACCACTCAATGAATGTTGCGTTGAATTGTTGAGAGCGATTCAACAACCCAATTCAACATCACTAAACATCATTAAACATCGCTGTACAAATGTTGAGCGATGTTCAGTGAAATGTTGAGAGCAATTTAACGGGGCTTTAGAGCTAACATGTTAGTCAGCATAAACTAAGAAGATTAATAATATGTATTGAAGAACTCAGGAAACAAACTAAGATTAATGTGTTGCCAGAAATGCAATCTAATAATCAGGGCACCCTAGAAAGGATTTCAGCTCTCATCTCCTCAACCTGTTTGGTTGAAAAGTTGTCTCTAGATTTTTCTAGGTTATGGCTGGCAAAGATTTCATTTTAAAACAAATTTGAATAGAATTGAAGTTCTGACATTCAGAATCCACACAAACTAATTGAATCATTTCAAGTTCTCTATTACCAATTTTTCATGCAGAATAGATTACAACTACAACTAATCATAAGCACTGCTATATTGGAAATAGAAATTGATAAAGAGCTTTAATGTGTTCCATGTAACACCAAGAATTATGAGATTATCATAATAAATGGCATTAGGGAGAAATGACAAATGTGTAAGACAAAAAGAGATAAATTATTCATTTACATTTTGGTAAATGATTTTGGTAGTTTGAGGGTTTTGTCTTTGATATTGAAATTGATGAAACTTACTGTTTAAATTTGACCTTAATTTCCCATTCTTTAGACTGTCCTGGGACACAGAGTGGTGATGCTGGAAAGTCTAGTGCATGCCAAGGCTGCCCAAATCAACAAGCCTGTCTGACAAGTGAAAGTAAAGCACCTGATCCAGGTTGACATTTCTCCTGCATATTACACAATCAGAACGCCTATTGTAATTCTTTGCCAAGTCCTCTAATGTAGAAACTTTTTAAACTTTTTAAAAGTATTGTTTTGAACATCTACAAAGCATTAATTTATTCCAGCCTAATTTTGAGTGTTCAAAATTGGATTTAACTCAGTGTATTTTAAATAGTCAGATATGCCAAAGTATTTAAATAATGTGACCTGGTATAGGTAAGATTACTAATTGTTAATAAAAATTAAGATTGCAGCCATAAAACAATATCAGGACTTCAGTCTCAAACTTAAACATTTTAGTCTGTGTGAGGATTTGTATGTGAAGTGGATTTTAGTCCCGCTGCCATAGTTGCACACACATGCTGTTTTTCTTCACATTTTCATCCTGTTATTCTTTTAATAGATTATTCCAGTTATAGATTTTAAGTATCAACACAGCCTTTATTGTTATTAACTGATTCATGGAAGAGTTTTTCTGATAGAGGATAAAGAAGTTTTGTTTATTTGCAGTTGACAAAAGAATGGAGCCATGACAAACTTGTATTTAATGGTGTTGGAAGAGGGCCATTTGACATTTTTTCGGGATTTAAGCCACCTTGCCCTACATGCTGCCTGCCAAATTGGCAACCCAGGCAGTGCAGAGCTTCGAGAAAAGTGGAAGGGGGCTAAAACTGAATAAAATGAGGAGCAATGATGACCCATTTCTTAACTGTTTAATTTTTGCTATACCCCCATGTTCTTTATACAATGCTGGCAACCCCATATTGCTTCTGCTCCCCTCTGCTTGTTAAAGTTGATTATAAATGTCACAGGCTGAACTGCCAGTTTCCAAATGGGTTCATAGTCAATTTTCAATAAAAAAGTAATTTTGAGACACCTTTTCAATTACTTAGTTTTCAGATTTTTCAGTGTTACAAATTGCTAGCCTTTATACGTTCGATGTTTTTGCAAACAGGTTTTATCAAGATATGATTTATGGTTTCATAATTTCGATTGGATCTTTGTTCTGCATCATTTCTATCTTATTCTCAGCCACGTTCTCTTATATTTTTTATTTAGATATTGGAAAGATTGATGCTGTGCTATCACAAGTGAGGCACAAAATTGTTATTCTGTCTGGAAAAGGTGGTGTGGGTAAAAGCACATTGACTGCATCCTTGGCGCGTGCTCTTGCTTCAAATGAAGAGACTCAGGTATTGCTTTCATTTAGAAACAAAATAGGATTCTACCTATCAAAGAACCTGAATGTTTTGAAAATACAGTGGCAACAGTGTTGGGCTCTTTTTTAAAATCAGATTATCATTTGTAGATTTCTATTTGTTAAATATGTAGATGCCATGAAATTTGCATAAGTTGGATCTCCTTGATAAAGGATTTTCAGAATTGAATTTTCCCTTCAGGCCAATAATATTAGACAATCATTTTTACCATAGTCTTTTTTCCCTCCTTACAGCTAATACATTTAACTCTTTTTGTAAACACAGGACCAACTTTGATTGTTCTCATGCCCAATGCTACAATTTAATTCAATATAGAAGAAATTTAAAGATCAATCTAGACTGTGCACAGGATTTTTTAGTATGCTGTGCATGCTGCACAATTATGCAGGGGCCTTTGTTATGCAAAAATATTACCATATCTCTCCAATCACTGTTCAAGTTTTTGCATATTTGTGCAGCATGAAAAGTCTGTAAACACAATGTTAGATTATTCTGCTGGCATGGGAAGAAAGTGGATGAGGAAAGGAGAAGATTCCAAATTTCCTTTATCTATTCAGAAGAGGTGCACAGAGGGTGTAAACTTTTGGATCTCAATATATTCTGTTTCAACTGTGTGTTGGATTTGCTGGAGAAATTTGAAAAGCTTATAAAGGCTGAATTTTTTAATGAAATGAAAAATTTGAATGTTTCAAAGCTAGCTAAACTTTGAAAAGTTTCCCCAGTGCAGCTCCACCCTCACAATTACTGCAAGACAAAGGAACTTCATTGGTGTCACAACTTCTGCTCCTAGAGAGAAGGACGTCCAATTGCCGCTTTTCATCAATCAAAGTTTATCAGTCTTGCTCAGCGAGACAAATCACATTCAAATGCTATTTCAGGCCAAAAATGAAGATGGCCTTCTTGAGCCAAGTGGTATTATTTTTTTGTATTTTTTATGGTTGAAAAAATTGACACGATAAATTTCAGGGCATTTTGCCTTACCTATACCTAGTTGCTCATACCTAGTTGCTCTGGTCCCCAGCGGCTGGGCCCCCGTCATGGCTCCACCATTGAACGAGGGAGGCCCCCTAAACCACCTGCTGAGTAGTTTTATTGTGCGACCATCAACTGTTTTTGTATCTGCCCCTGCATGTCACCTTATGTACAAATCTAATCAAATACCTGTACAGCATCAAAAGTAGTAACTGATTTTTTTATGCAAAGGTATCAGCATTTCTGCTAGCCAAAACCTCAAAAGCCAAAACTATCATTTCATTTGCATATGGCATATTAAACTTGCTGTTACTGGTGGTCATGGAATTCCAGAGTGCTGCCCATATCCATAATCATCCCTACCCATAATCACCACAAAACATTTTGTACCACAGCAGATCAGCCTTATGTAGTAAATTTTCTCCAGCAGTCCAAACTCCTTAATGCCTGATGCATAGAATCGACTACTAACTGAGACATGATGATACGAATACTCTCAAATGAATTATAACACAATGAGTTGAACTACAAATGTATTCAAAGGGCATAATGCAATTCCTTTGTGGTTTCATGTGTTACTGTTCATGGAAATAGGGCACTGTTCACAGCCAAAAGAACAAGTTTTTGTAGCAAGCATCTTCCATTGACTTCCATCTTTTTCTGGGGACAACCACTTTACTCTGTATTTAAATGAAAGAAAGATAGTGGAAACGATTTTTCATGATTTGGAACCATGCTTTTAAAGCTAGGATGATTTTTGTTTTGTCTTTATCCTCTGATTATTTGGTGACTAGACCTTTAACTGTGTACTCAAACTTTAATTTCATTTACTTACAAGGAAATTGATTAAGTGCTTTTATGATATGCTAGGTTGCAGTGCTTGACATTGACATCTGTGGTCCATCAATGCCTAGAATATTTGGAGTAGAGTTTGAACAGGTATGTTGACAGTATACATTCTTTTTCAAAGATGTCCTTGTCAACAACTTTTACATATTCCAGCATAATGCTAAGTCAAAGATAAAGGTATGGCTGTATGAGAATTGTTTCGATAAATTGGCTCTGAGCAGAAGCAAAAACAGAGCAAGCAAGTTACTAGATTACCCTTAAAGGTTAACTGACATGTAAAACTGTTTTTTGATATAATGCAGAAAACGATGCATGGAAACTAAATTTCAGGTTTTTGGTTAATTATTGTTGTCCTTTTTGACGCACTTCCTCTTTAAATGTCATGAAATTATCGTCGAGTGCTCGACCATTGTCGGCATTTCATGTGACCCAGCGCACGTACCGTCACAAACACCATGTTTTCATTCCTTGAATGCAAATCACACACGAACTGGTCAGTTCAATTCATTTAGTTCAGTTATTATTCGAGGAGATCTATGTAGCCTTTGATCAAACATATATAAAAATTCGAGGCTAATAAAATGTACAAAGGCTATGGTACTGCATAATGTTGGGAGGGAATTCAAGTTTGGAAGGAATAGACACTTTTAGCTGCTCGAAGATATTCTCAATTCTGAAGTAAATCATGCGGCGAATGTTAGAATTTTTTCATTTCATTACGAATCTAGTATATTTTTTTCGAATAAATCCAAAATAATCTTGCTTTGAAATATTATTTCTACATCCAAATAAATCACGAACATCATTTTGTGTTTGCAAACTCATCGGTTTACCCGAGTTACAGAGGTGCAGTGGCCTGGGAGTTTAATTTTTTACGAAGTTGTTTTCCTGCAAATAATGACTCGATCCTACTAGGTTCTTAAGCTCTACTAGGTTCTAAAATCTTTCATGTGATTGTGTATGAAGAGTGACTTGAATTCGAAATCTTTACAGTATACAGCATATAAGTTAATCAGGATAAGTTTCCAGAAAATAAGAAAAAAATCATCGTGGACAATTTAGTCGATCACACGAAGGAGTCGTTTTGTAGTCACTTATGTCACTGCTATGTCACTTACAAAGATTTTCAATGCTAAAAATTACAATTAATTACCATTTCTATTTCCAATCCTACCAATATATTTATCGCTACCTTTATTTGGTATGTTGGCCCGCCACACACTGGGTCCTGCAAGACGGAGGAAGGGCCTCAAACGTGTTGAATCATACGATTTTCTTGCACTTCTTTTTATGAAAAATTTGCAAAGTAATCATAATCTGTTTTCCAAACAGGTTTTAGAAATTGAGCCACAACCTACTCTTCCGCAAAATCATAAAATTATGGCCTTCCAGACTGTCGTGGCAGAATAAGAATACCGTAATGCCTCGAATAAGCGCCCGGGCGCTTATTTAATTTTTGAGGCTCCAGGATGGGCGCTTATTTAAAAAATAGATTTGGAAGAGACTAAAATAATGAATGTGTTTTCAATTGAAGCATGTTATTATGATGGAAAGGCAAACAATGAGAATGAAAACTACAACAAACTGTGTTGGTCATTCAATCTTTCTTGGTGAATTGACTTCCAATTATGTTGTCGTTGAAAATTCGAATAAGCGCCCGTTTCTGAAGGTTGAAGGATGGGCGCTTATTCGAGGGGTGGGCGCTTGTTCTAGGGGGGCGCTTATTCAATAATTTCACCTCTAGGGTGGGCTCTTATTCGAGGGGGCGCTTATTTGAGGGGGGGGGGCGCTTGTTCGAGGCATTACGGTAACTTATTCTATGCTGTCGTGCTGCTCAAGTGATTTGAACATGGTGTTTTTGACGTGACGATTATGCGGAAGGCTGGGGCAATCTCGTACGTGCTCGGAAAAATTAAATGTTAAATATTAAAAGACTGATAATGTCTCAGGTATTTATGTTTGATAAGCTTTCATTTGAAGTCAAGTTAATTTTGTGTGTCAGCTCACCTTTAAATATAGCCTAGATTTTTTGAACGTATCTTTATATCTTTCATAGTGTTATCATATGTAGGCGAAGGTATTAGCTTTATCCAAAGGCACAAAAGTATGTACGGTAAACATGTTCAAAATTTTGGAGAACCAAAGCCAATTCACTTTACTTTTGTCAAAATTTAGAAGTTTCTTATTTATATCAAATATCAACTGACAAGTCAGTTGTTAAAACAGGCAAAAGTCTCTCAAGAAGAACTTATAATTGAATTCAATGTAGACTTTCTATGGTTAATAGCTAATTCTTTGGTAAAACCTTGATAAAATGGTGAAAAATATTTATCAATTTTATTTATGGTATGATCTACCTGTTTGATACCCTGACAGATCTGCGTCTTTTTCTTTAACAAATTCACTAGCAAGCATGACAAACGTCAAGGAGAAGGCTGCAAATGCAATTGTTATGATCTTGAAAAATTCTGGCTTTCAATTCATAGAGGAAAATCTAATAATATTTGACAACATCACTTCATAATCGTCAATATGCTTTGATATTTTTTGATAGGTACATCAAAGCTTATCTGGCTGGTCTCCAGTAGTGAGTACAATTGTATTGTTTATAAATATGCTTAACAACAGTGAAAAGATACACATTTTGAAGTTTAAAAAGTTCGATGCATTTAGAAGAATCTTTGTTACCATTTTAAATTTAGTTCAAAGAAAATGGAGTTGCTTCTGCTTCTGATTGCTCGGTATCAACGGGAACATCAAGGCAAATATTCTGTACTATAAATTCAGATCTTGCCAGTTTTTCCTCTATTTGTTAAGGCTTTGGAAGCTCAAATCCTTAGTCTGAACTTGATATAGCTGTGGACCTAATAATATACCGTTTTATACCGTTAGAGGATTGATGTAATGTATAGCTGCCATTTGAATTTTTGCTTGAGGCCGTGGCCTCAAAATTTGATGGGTTTTCGGAAAAATCATTGTTTTGTCGAAAAATTCTCAAACTTGAGCTGTAGGTAATTCTCAAACTCTTAGGCCTGGTTCAAACGTCGCACTTCTCATGTGCCGAACCAAACTCTGTTTAGAGCGACACTTTAGCATGTTTAGCGCGACTCCCGTTTTAAACTTCGAACTTAAGCCCTGTTTACACTACAACTTTTAACCTGGGTTAACGCTAACCTGGGTTGAACCCAGGTTGAACCCACTTTCGTTTACACTATATTTACAACAAAGTATAGTGTAAACGCAAAGTTGGGTTGAACCCAGGTTAGATTCGTCACGCATGGGCTTCGTTGTGAAATACGCTTTCATGAATCTAGCTGTTGCTGCATGTCTTCGTCCGCCCATATTTCGATTAACGACATGACTTCATCGTCGCCCCATAGTGTACCTCTTTCAGCCTTGTTTCGTTCATTTTCAAGATATGCTGCTTTAAATTGAAGAACCTTTTTGCACGAGCGAGCAAGACGAATTTTGTTTTGACTTGTTTGGCGTGTTTGGCGCCTTTCATGGCTCAAAAGGCGCATGCGCGAATAAGATCGTTAACCTGGGTTCAACCCAGGTTTACGTTTACACTGCATTTCGAAGCTCTAGAACCTGGGGTCAACCTAGGTTCAACCCACCTCCAGAGTAGGGTTGGCTCAACCCAGGCTAGCTGCGTTTACACTACAAAATTTCTAACCCAGGTTAACGTTAACCTAGGGTCAACCCAGGTTGAAAGTTTTAGTGCAAACAGGGCTTTAATTATGTCGCGCCAAATAGGTTTGAGGATTGTTACATAAAGGATCTTGGTTTGAAATTAAGAAACAGAGCAGAACGGCGACGAGAATCCAATGTTATGAGATTAATTTTCAAAATAAAATAAATTAAATATAACTTGCCATTGAGTTTGGTACATGACAAGTTCGACGCTCTGAATCGTGCCGTGCTGGAGTCGTGCAGCTCGGCAAGCTCTGGCGATCCAAACTAGTTTGCCGCTCCTAACTAAATCTGCCGTACCAAATTGATTCAAACGTCGCGCCCCTCATGCACTTAATTCTCGACTTAGGTTCGGCACATGAGAATTGCTATGTTTGAACCAGGCCTTAGTAACATAAATTACTTGGACTAAAGTACTTATCGAAAATTCGAGAGGCAATTCACTTTTGTAAAGAAAATACTAGATTTGTACAAAGCAAAATGATTTCTCAGGATTTACTGATTCCCACCATAGAATGATTTGCTGTTCGGATTTTGCCAGTTAAAATCCGAAACTTCAAGGGCCAAATTTGGTTATGTAAATTGTCAAAATGGGTATAAATTATATCTCTATTTGATATTGAAAACCGGGACAGTACCAATTTGGTGCCTATCACCAGATTTTTGAAAAGTTTGTCCCAGATTCGTGCATTTATGCAATTATGTTGCGTAAGGTAAAAAAAGGTAGAAGTCGATCGAAACTATCGATTTCCCCAAGTGGATATTCAATTTAAGGATAAGATTTTATTATTAAAATTTGTTTCAAATAATGCGATTTCTGATGAATTTAAAGCATTAGATCATCAAAAATTTTTCCCTTTGGCGGCAACCATGGTGCCGCCACAGGTAGTAACTTGTCCTAATCTACGGATGCCAGGGGCGTTCACTGTAAATATGAAAAAAAGGCAACATGTATTTTAAATTTCTTCCCAGCTAAGGCAAAAGTTAAGAGTTTTTCTGCCTCACCCCCCTTTACACTTACATGAAATGCTTCTATTTCAAATAAATCAAAGAAATTTTTCGGAAACTTTTTCTTTCTGGCCCCCTCTAGAATTAATTCGCCACGATGCCCCTGGTTGATAAATGTAATATCTCCGCCAATGAATTTGAAAGAAGGCCTTATGTTAAACATTTGATGCATTTGATCTTTTGCTTACTTCTAATCATTATGGCGTGTGTTTTTGGCGGCTGGTTCAAAAAGCCGTATTTATTTTGAGCCAGATTGACATTCTAGATATTTTTTATACTTTTTTATACTTTCATTAACGTTCATGTGATAATAATTTTGACGAGGAAAGTAGGCTTACATTTTTATTGTGTGAGAAGGAAGAACCGCAGGATAGGCTGTCCGCCGGATTCTGTGAATCTTGTAATGAATGTTGTTATGAAAGATATACAGAAACAAAGCAATACGATGACGAGAATCCAATGTCACGAAATAAAATTTTCAAAATAAATTAAATTGAAAGAATAGACTAATATTTCGCCCCGGCATACAGGGCTTCATCAGAGTAGATGAAACGAACGAGTGAATGGATTTGAAATGTGAGATGGTGATGCCGGATTGGTGGATGTCGAATGGTGTAAATGCAGCGCAGTAGAGAAAAAATGAGATGATGGAAGTGGGGGAGGGAAGGGTGGTGGGTGATGCAATAAGATGATAATGATGACTGTGAATATATATATATAAAAAAAGAATAATAATAATTGTGATAGAACAGAGAATAATGGAATGTTGATGATAGTAATAGTAGTGATGATGATTATAATGGGTACGGAAAATATGGTGTGGGTTGTGAGGGCGGCGTGATAGGTGATAAGTTGTTTTGTAAAGTTAACGGTCGGTAGTTCTGTTCATGCCCTTGGGGGTGAGGGTGTTCACCAGGCCAATGAGATATTGCTCCTTAGCTCGACGAACACTCTCGTTTGTCATTAAGTCTAAGTAGTGGTGTGATAGCAAGGTCGTTGATGGTGTATGCTGGGCTGCAAAAATGTTCTGCAACTCCAGACTTGACTTCTTTTTTGTTGATAATGTCTCGTCGGTGTTCGTTAAATCTGTCTTTAAGTTGTCTGCTAGTTTGTCCGATGTATTGGCAGTTTTTGTTTCCGTTATGTAGACAACGTTTGCATTGTAATGCGTATATGACGTTGGTGGAGTTGCAGTCCTGTCGTTGTTTTATGTCGTAGTTTTTGTCAGTGTTAGAAAAATTAAATGTTGTAGTCCCGTCTGTGATATGTTGGCATTTGTAATAGCAGTTACTTTGTGAGTGGCATTTGTAAGAACCTATGGAATCACTGGGTGTGGTATTTTTTATTTTGGCACGAGGTTTTTCGGTCTGCGGTAATTAAGTATGGGTGCGTCGGGGAAGGCTTCTTTACATGTGTTAGAGTTTTGTAGTATGTCAAGGTTTTGTTTAAGTATGGTGGATAGTTGTGGCAAAGCTGGGTGGTAGGTGACAACAAATGGCGTGCGATGATTAGTGCGTGGTTTGGTGGTCCTGAGGCAGCCTTGTCTGGTTTTTTTAGCAGCCTTCTGTATTTGTTTGTTTGTCTGTTTGGGTTTGTAACCCCGTTTTGTCAAGTATTCCAGTAGTTGTCTCGTGCGATATTTGAACGTTTCGTCTTCGGAGCAGATCCGTCGTAGTCGTAGGGCAAGACTGTATGGAATGGATTGTTTGGTGTGTTTGGGGTGTGCAGAGGTGCGGAGGTGCTGAGGAGATATTGGTGTGTATCCGTGGGTTTAACATAGAGATCTGTAGAGAGGGTATTATCATTATCAAGATAATGGTGACGTCAAGAAAATGTATGGATTTTTTGGATTGTTCTGTGGTGAATTTGATGGTGGGATGGGTGTTGTTGAGTGTATCGATGAAGTCGGTGAGTTTGTCTTGTCCGTGTGTCCAAATCATAAAAATGTCGTCGATGAAATGCCACCACACAAGAGGCTTGTGCAGGGCTTTGTCAAGGGCATTGGTTTCAAGGACCCCCATAAAGATATTGGCGTAGGGTGGTGCCATTCTTGTACCCATCGCTGTGCCATGTTTTTGTAGAAAAAAGTTTCTGTTGAACTCCAAGTTGTTATTTGTCAGTATAATGTTGATGAGGTCGCAAAAAGTTTCTGTGGGTGGAGTTTTGGAGGTGCGTTCGTCGAGGTGTAACCTGGCAGCTTGGATACCTTCTGTGTGAGGAATGTTGGTTTATAAGGATGATACGACAAGGGTGACAAGGAGAGAGTCGTTGGGAAGTGTGGAGATAGAGTCGAGAAAATGTGTGGTGTCTTTGATGTAGGATGGCAGTTTAGAGACCAGTGGGGTTAGGATGTTACTAACGTATTCTGAGATGTGCTCTGTGGGATGGCCATTAGCTGAGACAATGGGTCTACCAGGGGGATTGCTGCGGTCGATGTGGATTTTAGGTAGAATGTAGAATCTGGAGCATGTTGGTTGTTTGGGTGCTAGGTAGGTAAATGTTTCTTCGTTAATGTGATTGTCGTTTTTCATCAGTCGTAAGTAATTGGTCACTTTTCTCGTAACTTTGTTGGTTGTATCTTTGTCTTGTTTTATGTAAAAAGTCTTGTCGCTCAGTTGTCTGTTGCATTCGTTTATGTAAAACTTCGTGTCCATGACTACGACTCCTGATCCCTTGTCGGCGGGTTTGATGACGATGTCCGTGCGTCTGGTGAGGTTTTTCAGTACGTTCCGTTCCGTGTTAGACATTGGACATTGGATTCTCGTCGTCGTATTGCTTTGTTCCTGTATATCTTACATTTTTAGCGTTAGCGTATATTTTTACTTTTGGATATTGAAGTTCGAACAGAAGATTGTTCTTTTAAATCAGGCATAAAAGTGGTCTGAGACAGGACCTCGCAAGTTATGGGCTTAATTTGGAAACCTTATTTTTTACCGTACAACATTGCTTGCGTTTTGACAAGAACGATTTAAACCCGCTAGATTCATTTTTTTGTTAAACATATATGTCATTTTTTAACTTTAATATTTGGTTGATTTAGCTCAAGATTAATTCCAGGAGAACAATTTGAAATTCCAGTTGATTGAAATTCCAGGGCCGTGAGAATAAAACTTTTTACCACCATTATTCAACTCCGCAAGTAAGGGTTAACGTTTTCTTGATCATGCATTTTTGTATGATGAATTGATATATCTGAACACGCTTTATTTCATATATCGTTGTTGTGCATCATTTCAGTTCGTTCAAGATAATTTGTCGTTGATGTCTGTTGGCTTCCTGCTCAGCAGTCCAGAAGAAGCAGTCATTTGGAGGGGCCCACGTAAAAATGGTACATATCTCGTGTATTGTATTTTGTATTGTACATATTGATTGTAAAAAAACGTTTTTAACTCATGACGTTCCTTTAAATAGCATTTTATAGATGAAATTTTATTCGGTATGTTACTTCAAGCCGTGTTTAACTCGTTAAATATCGCAAATGTGTTGAAAAGTGCGAATTAAATTTATAGATTTCGGCTCCTAGGTTTCCCAACTATATTTCCGATACCAAGAAAACTTGTTGCTCCTTCTATTTCTTGTTGCTTCTTAATATTTCGTATTTTTCTAGGCCTGATAAAGCAGTTTTTATGCGATGTTGATTGGGGTCAGCTGGACTATCTTTTGATAGACACCCCACCTGGTACATCTGATGAGCATTTATCTGTTGCGCAGTATCTCAAGCTTGCAGGTGTTGATGGCGCTATACTAGTCACAACACCCCAGGTTTAAATTATTTTTTTACTTTTATTTTTAACATACTTAGATCTGTCATAGGAGTGCCATGTCTAAATGATGCGATTTCAAAGACAGTCAATGTTTTGATAGCATCTGAGTTGTGAGAGACTCGAACGAGTGCTATTATTGTTGTGATTAGTGAGCGAAAGTAAAATGAAGATTCGAAGCGGGTGGATAGGTAAAGAAAGCCGTTGCCAAGTTAAGTATTAGAGGCAGCTGAATTCTTGCCTGTGGTTGAGTACACTGTTCTGCCGCTAATTCATAATTTCAATTGGTAATCTTGTTTAATTATGTATAATTCTTTTCTTTTTTTTAATAGGAGGTAGCATTACAAGATGTTCGAAAAGAAGCGAACTTTTGTGCAAGGTTGGGTTTACCAATCATAGGTATAATTGAAAATATGAGTGGCTTCATATGCCCCAATTGTAAGGTACACTTTTTACATTTTGTATTAAGCTTACGCAATATTTTAATATATAGATAAATAAACATCGAAGCATTCCTCCAAGGACCTCTTCATCATTTTTCATCTTATCCCCACTGTTCCAAACTGTCATCGTTTAACAATATCTATGCCATATACAGTGGTCTTGCATTAGGTCCCATACGTTGAACTTAGACTCGTGCAATTTCTGTTTATGCGTTTTGTTATTGTATCAAATTGATTCCATTGAACTAAATTTTTATCGATTTTTTTCAATTTTTTAACCAATGAGCTCTTCCTAAACGCAACCATTTCCAACATTGTCTGTTTTTCCATGCTAGGAACAGTCACAGATTTTTCCACCAACAACTGGCGGAGCAGGCAAGATGGCAGAAGTATTGAATGTACCACTTTTGGGAAAAATTGCCCTCGATCCTAGCATAGGTAGAGCTTTTTCACAGTACTTGTCATTCCCTGTTTATGCAAATTTCTGCAACATTTTGACTTCTATTCGTAAATGATTTAAAAACTCGAAAAAACTGATGAGTGACTTTTGCAATGCCTCATGCCATAACATGGTCATTACTTTGATTGCATGTTTATCCTGAGCAGGTCTGCCAAGTTTTATTAAGTTTACCTTATTGTTTTCTAGGTCGCAGCTGTGATGATGGACTGTCGTTTCTCTCAGAGAGACCAGAATCACCGGCAGCTGCTGCCTTACTCAGTATTGTTGAAAGTAAGTGGAATTTTCATCTTATTTCCGTTATTGTATTTGATAGTAAAAGTTACGAAACCTTATTGGCCACCAGGTAATCAATCGGAAGAGTTATAGCAATTCTAATATGGCATAATGATATGACGTGAAGAACATCAATTCAACATTACTTGTTTGTAAAACATACTCTGACTGGGAGTATGTTTAAGTTATATTTGATAATGATTCATTGATTCGCATCGAAAACCTAACAATCTTAAATTGAAGTGATACGGCAATTTGACGTAGCACCATTGCAGAAAAAAAAAAGCTTTTCCGATTATATGGGGATCAGTCTTAAATCTGCAAGTGCAAGCTGCCTGAAGGAGTTTAGTATTTACATTGCAAAATCTGCCACACCCTAGGCTTGAAGAAAACGGATCTTAGTCTCATATAGAAGTAACCAATGAACAAAATTGAGATGGCAAATATTACTGTAAGGCAAAATGATTTTCATATGATCTGCGTGTAGAAGATTGGAAAAAATATTGGGGTTTGTTAAGAAACACAGCCTTTATCAAGCTTTTGCCAGCAACATAATTGTCTTGATTCAGAATTCACTTAACCAGATATAGTGTACACGAAAGTTAGATTGTTGTTGCCACCGTTTATCACTTAATACACGCAGTTTTGGTAGAAACAGTATCAAAGCAATGAATGATAGGGTCGAGACACTTGCAGCGCATTATTCTAAGAGAAGGTGGTTTCTTAATATGATTTATGTCAAGAAAAGTCTTCAGTATCTGCAGTTTGTATTTGTCAAAGTATTTTTGGTTGCTTTTGATCGTATTGTAAAGTATGGAGCATGAATTCCTATTCAAACCTCAATCAGAGTTTCACTGTCATTTTACCCGTTTTTATCTTTTTGCCGCCTTATATCATCTGCCTTTCAAAAAGGCGCATAATGATCGAGCTTGCTGGTATTTAAAGAAATGTATTTTTCTTGCAGATGTGAAACTTTTTTGCAACCGTCCATGAGTTTGTAGCAGTAAGCGATATAATTGTAGAAATTAACGCATGGATACCCCAATTTCCTTGTTCAGTTTCCTTGTCCAAATGCAAGCTTCATAGCAACAAATTCTACTGTTCAAGTGTTGTCTACGCAAGTACAGTATTTTTTAATGGAATTTTTTAGATGATGATGTACAGTAAAACGCGCATATAAAAAACCTACTTTTTTAAGAACCGCTATATTAAAGAATGGTATGTTGGGCGTTGCTAACCCCTTTGGAATTCCAAAAATTGGTTCCTATTGAAGGATTAAGAAAGATGCATCGCCGACAGGTCATCGACGAGTGAAAGTTAAATGGAAACACTGCCACAAGGTTGTTGCCGACTTATCGGCGATGCCCTGCAAAAGTTAAATCTAGTTCAACTTTTTTCTGTCGGCGACGTGGGCGATGACTGAAAATTTTAATGGAAACATACATCACCGACCCGTTGGCAACTCTGTATGGACGCATGACCCACACTAGCCAATCAAAATCATTATCAATCAACATGCCCACCCGTTAGGCACAGTTTGTTGTCAAAAGGCTCCCTAGAAGGCCTGGGTTTAGAGTGGCGCCGATGCGTCGGCGACACGTAAGAGTTATAAGGAAACCAGGCTGGAAGGATCAATTATACAATAACCTAACACCCAAATAATCATTACCATTTCGTTTGATAAGATCCCATCTAGGCAAAACTGAAAAAATGTAGGTTCTTATACCCAAGTTTTAACTGCAGTTCTATTATAAGTTTTAAGCATAGGTACGTTAAGTATTAAAAACATTGTTACAAAATGCAAAATATCATGGGAGACTCAGTTTAGCAATGACTATTATCAAGAAAGAATTTTGTGTCGTTTTTATGTTCATTACTTTGATCGGCAAAATACTGGCACTCCTTGCTCCTATATTTGGCAGGTGAGAAACGTGTCTAAACTACTTAGTTTACATCGTTTTATAAAATACCACATGTTTCAGAATTCCTTTCCCTGCCACTTTTTTATCATTTAAATCATTTCGCCTTCTCTTTATCGTAAATTTAATAATCCGCTCTAATTTCAGCCTAGGCTTGTGTTCATCCCATGTTTTTATAAAATTTATATCATATATTTTGCGCTTGCTCTGATGCCCCAGACTTATTTGCCCCAGACCTAAACCAATTAGCAAATCTTATAACTATTGAGAGAAACATCTGGCAAATGTTCAGGGCTTTTTTGTGACTGTTAAATGAATGCGTTTTGTTTCGGACTTGTTTTATTTTAACTATTAAATAAATGCACTTATTTATGTATCGGGCTTGTTATATTTGTAACGTTCAAACAAGCATTTCAGGGCTGCTTCAATTGTAGCGAGTTAGGCCTATTTTAGACGCTTTTACCACTACCCACAAAAAATAATAGTGTAATATGTGCTGAAAGATAACCTTAATTTTCTTTTAAAAATGGAATCTTTGATGAATTTACGAAAAAACTGCCCTTGTACTCAGCAAAAAGTTTTCCGCGATCGTTAGTTACAAAGGCTTGAAACTGTCTCTTTCAAATCCTTATAATAATTAGAGGGGACGGAGAACAGGAAAATAACAGTTTTAAATCTTAAAAGTTGTTTTATCAACGTCATTAACAAATATGAACTTACCTTCACAAGCCTATGTTAAAATCTTTTCTTGTCGGCATTGATGTTTGTGTTAACGACGAAATAAATCGCTAAATTCAACTGAGAGAAAATGAAGTCTACCTTTCTCTTCAAAAAAACTACAATTGTACGATTTCTTTTGCACTCGGGTACTTTGAATATTCATTTTAAAGACTTGAAGATCACGTCCACAGATGTTCACTGCTACGGCCGTGTAAAACATGACGCAATTCGTCAAGGATGAAAAGGGCGGGAAAATTAAATATGTGTAGCGACCATTGTTAAACATATTCATGTTTCCCATTGTAATCTTGTCATTCACACCTTACATTGTCTACGTATCTATAGTTACGTTTTCAATAACAACCTTGTCGCGTCCACTCGTTTTATGTTTATACACCTAGTTTTGTAAAGAGTTATTTTTCATTTCGCTGGAAAAATAACGTAACAGAAAAACCAAGCTGATTTGTTTTCTTCGAGTCGATGGCCTAAGGCACGGTAAACAAAGATTGGTGAGATCGTTCATTTACAACCTTCTTTATTATTAGTTCGAATTTCATGCACAGCTACAATGCGATTTATTAAATTGGTAACCACGACGTTGTTTTTGCCGTTTATTCCACTTTATCGCAGTTTATTCTTGGATTCTTACTTGTTCATATTTGGTGTTATTTTGCCCATCCAAGTCCCACTGGCCCACTCAACAACCACAGTCGCCTCTTTTTGTCACCGACCGTACCACTGGTACACGTTTCTTGGTGGATACAGGTGCCGATATCAGTGTTCTCCCGCCAACACCTGCTGTAAAACGACATCCTCCACCTTCCTCACTTACCCTGCAGGCCGTCAACAAGACAACCATCCCCACATTTGGCGAAAAATCTTTGACCATAGATGTCAGACTCCTCCGCAATTACTGTTGGATATTCGTTCTTGCTGATGTTCCATTTCCAATCATTGGCGCAGATTTCCTCGCACACTTCGGTCTCAAGGTAGATATCCGTAATCGGAGACTCATTGACACGACTACCAACTAAACGGTGAATGGCATCAAGTCTTTGCATCGCTCTCCATGTCCTGTGTATTGTCTTCCAGAAGTTGCAACACCCTACCAGAATCTTCTTGCAAAATTTCCAGATATCATCCGTCCATGCTACAACGATGCTGCTGTCAAGCACCACATCACACACTACATCACCACCTGTGGCCCTCCTGCCTTCTGCCGTCCCGACGTCTTCCTCCAGAGCGCCTCAAGGTGGCAGAAGCTGAATTCGACCACATGCTACAACTTGGTATCATCCGCCCTTCTTCTAGCAGCTAGTCTTCGCCAATTCACATGGTACCCAAGCCGACACCTGGGGACTGGCGTCATTGTGGTAACTACCGCTCTCTCAACCGCATCACAGTTCCTGATCACAGGGCCGCCGGACGCAGGGGGGGGGGCCCCAAAACGAATAAAAAGGGCACAAATATCTTTTTTTCGAAACATTAGTAAATGCCAAAAATGGTACAGATTTCATGGTAATTTAGAAATTTATAAGAAAATGACATTTCTATGTTTGATTTGTACCTCCATGTATGATTCATACCTCTATTGCAATACGCTGTACTTGTCTTTCCTTTTAGTTTGCAGTGTAAGTGGATTTGGCCCCGGGTAAGAGGCAAGCACACATCCTTCTTTTAACCTTATGGCAGGCGAATTATACTAAACGAGTGTTCAAATTTATTGCAACATACCAATGAATCTAACCCAAAATATGAACTGAATGGAATTTTGAATTCCTAGTCTTTATATATTGCAATGCCAATTTCAATCCCTCTCCCTTTCAAAGCAAAGTTTCAGTCTCTATGATTATCGAAAGCTCGTTCGAGTAATGATTTCAATTTTTTAATTGTACATTTAAACGATTTAGTCCCCCTTGGTATTTACGCCTTCCCATCGCCACTAAAGCACATAATTTGTTCGCCTCCATGGAATATTTTTTAAAAGCTACAAAATTTTATGTTTAAGTCGTCTTTACGCAATCGACTGGAGGTGCGGGCACATTCTTCACTGCCATAGAAAATTTAACGTTTTTGCTAGCAAGTACTCATTGCAGGGACACAACTTTTTAATGTTAATAAAAAAATTTAACACAATGTCACGGCCGGCGAAAGCAGGGGGGCCATGGCCCCCCCCCCACTTTTCTGCAGAGCTAAAGGAAAGTTTTAGGCAAAAGTGGAAATAAATGTAGTATAGCATTCTGTAAGTAACTGTGTTTAGTAATCCCTTACATATGCCTTTAGATTTAGCTTGGTTGCTATGACTTTACCATAGAAGACATATATAAATTTGATTATGGGAAATAAGATCAAAGAAATCGGTCATTGTCTAAGTTGTACAACGAGAAACAGCTTGGCTTAGGAAATAGATCGAGAAACCTGATCCAGAATAACCTGGTGCCAGCACAAATTGACGGAGTTTCGTTTTTTCTATTGCCTAAACGTGGCTCACAAGGTCTATTTGTTAACAACAAATTTCTCAGGGACATTACAAAAAGAGAGGAATTGCTAGCGATGTGGAAGGGAAAGAAACTGACGATAGGGAAAATTTTTGAGGACATGAGAAAAAAGAATGGGCAGATTTGTTCTAAAAAAGTAAAATCAAAAAAACTTCAACACTTGATTGTATCGATAATCCATTCCTACTAAAAAAGAAAATCTAGACGCAATTGTAAATTCTATTAAAACTTCTTTTGATTTTTGTTAAAAGCACCTTTTTTCCGAAATATTTAGGATCAGATGTTACAAAACAATATCCCAAGTGTACAAATTGCTTAATTTGCTTTTATTTTTGTTGATAGTTCTCCTGTTTTTGCTGAACTTGTACATATTGATTAAGCAAAGCTTAAAGATATTGCTTCGGATTTTCCTTCAGTAAACGTCCTCGGATTTTTCTCGGATATTTCTCGGATTTTTCTCGGATTTTCCATTTTAGATACTGTCTCTGGCCATCCCTAGAATACGATTATCTCAAAAATTCCTTGCCGCCAACCATGGTGGCCTAACCTAAGCCCTTTCAAGACCTTCATATTTTGCCCCCTCCCCCCCACTTTCAAATACGTTTCGCCGGCCCTGAATGTTATGAAGTGAGCAATATGTTGTAGTTATAGTTTTACAGCTGCCTGATTTTGTTAATATATATTATGAACCATAAGGGATTGTTGCTAAAATCAAATTTAGTGAAATCTGCTTTTTATCTTGCCTAGACATAAGTTTAAGAAAAGGAATGGTTCTAACATGAATTGGTATAATAAAAAATCCCTGCACAAGCTTGAATGTTCTCAGTGAAAAGGGTTACAAAATTTTGGCAAAGTCACAGAATAGGGTACATTTTACTTAACCCAGAATCAGAGATAGAGGTCAAGTTTCTACTTTCAGGAACACACACGATATACATTGGACCAACTGTCTGTGCCCAGGGGCGAAACTTCACTATTTTCATTAAGGGGGTATGAAGCTAAGTTGCCCGACGAAAGGGCGTGGCATGGTTGATGAAAGGGCGTGTCCTACATGAACTTCATTTTTAGAGCACATCGCCTCAAGGGCTCAAATCATCGGGAAGCCCGAGAGAGGGTCTTTAGACTCAGGCTGTTTGTTTTAAGTCAAAAAATATGCCTCTAGTTTTTCTGGTGTTGGCTATAAACATTTGTTTCCGAAAAGCAAGCATTTGTAAGGCCTGTCTTTTCTATAAAAGAAAAAACGTCTTCACTTTCTAAATCACCTAGCTATTAAGAGAGCAATTCAAAAAAGAGATTGAAGTAGGGTCTCAATTTTATCAAAGTGGAACACCAAAACACAGCTTGGGAATTTCGGAATTTAGAAACAGCTACGCAGATTACAATGTTTCAACAAAAAAGAGCTTCAGTTGCATTCTCTGAGTTTCATTTTCAATTTTCGGTTGCTCCGAAAGCAATTTCAATATTTTTAGACACCCAAGCACAAAGTACGTATATCTAAATTCACCATAACAAAATCCCTCAAGCAAAGAAAAGTTTTTTATTGGAGGTATTTTACAGGTATACCTATCATCAAAGCTCAATTTTCATGTTTTCGTAATCATGGATATTGTTCAGAAATAGAATAAACTCGAAAGATTTTTGCAATTCATATCTTAACTACAATTTCTTGATAAATTTTATATTATTTCCCGCTTGAACTGATCAAAACTTCCTG